CCAAATATTTTTGTGAACAGTGTAATTATTTTCACAAGAAAAAACAATGTAAGAAGAAACAAGTTCCTTATTACTGTAAGAAATGCGACGATTTTCGGGTTCAAAAAAAATGTGATAAATGTGCAAATTTTCTGATAGAACCAGAAGATTTCGATAAGACATTATCAGATTCCTCTCCAAATTCTAATATTAGCGATCAAACGTATTATGAACCTGATGCAAAAGATTTTGTAATACGTGATAGGTTCAAGTATATACATAGTCAAAATGGTACTTTATTAGAAGATTCTCAACTTTTTTTTAGTGATAATGAATTGATGATGGACGATTCATCATCATCATACTGTAATTCTCTTTAATTAGTTTTATACCGATTAAAAATTTTTCTACGTAAATTCATTTCTCATTTTTTTCATCAAACCATGACAGAATATCACGTTGCAAAAGATACTTATTCTTTGTTACAACAGGAAGAAGCGCAACTTCTTTCTTGGAAAAATGCTATCGAGTCTATGTTTAGAGTGGAATTACTTTTGATTGTAAAACTTCGATGGTTAAAGAAGTTAAAGCGAGACTCAGTTCAAATGTTAATTTGAAACAAATTCAGAAAGCAACTATCGATAAATTTGAAACTCAACGTCTATATTTTTCATTATGTATTCTTGTTACTCCCAAGAAGGAAATTTGGATGAGTCTAAGAAACAACCCAAACAATGATTTTTTCGGTTATTATCAGGTGGCAGGAGGTTCGCTTAATCATGGTGAATCGTTTAATGATTGTGTTAAACGTGAAGTTTTAGAAGAGACTAATATAGCTTTAGAAGAATGTGATTTTATCATATTTGATGAAGGAATCTGGCATTTTCCCAATAAGGGTGAATATTTATTTAAAACGGCAATTTACTGTGGTATTACTGATAAGATTCCTACACAAACAGAATCTGATAACAATGGTTCGTGGGAAAAATACACCTTTACTCAGTTCAAGAATATAAAAGTCACAGATTCTTTACGTCTCAAAGAAAGTATTATTATCGAATCGATTTTAAACAAATTCAAGTTACATCGTTATACTAAAAAACGTAAGATTGAAGAATCTGCAGCATCTTCTCCTTCACCTCCTGAGAATATTGATAATGAGAATATTGAAGAGGAAGAAGGCGCTTTAGAAAATTAAACCAATAGTTTCATTTTATTTTTTTTTTTTATCAATGTATTTACGAGTTATAAATAAATCAATCTAACTAGTCTATGACCGGTTAGACTTTTAATTACGTAATTCTGAAATAACTGAAAAAAAAGTAAGTTGGACGTTTCATCTTACTTTGTATTTGTAAATTCGAATTACGCTGTCATAGAGAAATAGGAATATATTCTGAATGCTAGAGTATGATGAGGATATATTCTATTATTTCTCGAGAAACTGATATCGGAATCAAAGTTATATCTTTGAAATATCAGTACTGCAAACAATTGATGAAGAGAATTTTCGTACTTATAGTTTTATTTATTTAGATATCGAATTACAAATTGGGACATAATTTTGAAAACATTGTACGAAAGATAGCTGAAACAAACGGATTATTAGCATTTGAAATAAAAGTAATTCAAGACGACAATGGTATCGATATTATTTTGACTCATAAGGAAAAACTTATTCTTATACAATGTAAGAATGTAGAAACTCCTATAAATGTTCATATTGTAAGAGTTTTCGAGTCAGCACTTTCAAGATTTTCGCCAGATTCTCTAGGACTTATTGTATACAATAGCGAAAAATTAGACGAAAATTTTGCCACTCCTAAAGCTAAAAATTGGGCCACTACGTCAAAAAAGAATATCAAGATCTGTAACGAAAAAGAGTTCGTTGAAATTATCAAGAATTTTTTTGAAAATGATAATGATGATCATATCGAATTGATTAATTTTACAGCAGATAGTTTTGATTTAATTAAATCGGTTGGAAAAAATATTTTTATAGGTAAAATTATCATTCGTAAGAATAAAAATGTATATAGACTTATTCTCTATTAGTATCTGTTCAGTTTAATACCGAACAGATTTTTCTTAGAGTATTTCCTTCTAATAAATTTATTATTATTTAAAATGCAACAAACTATTTTTCTATGTTTATTACTTTCATTTATCTTTTTCTTTTTGGTTTTGAAAAAGATCACAAAGAAAACAAAGATAATTGTTTTTACTAGAACTATCAGTATTGGCAAGACTACTTGCGCTAAATTATTTGAATCTTTTCTTAAAACAAAAGGATTTACTGTAAAACGTTACAAAGAAATTTCATTGCAAGTTAACAAAGAATTTCATATATTCAATAAAGACAAACCAAAGAATTTTCTATTTTTCTAATACGTTTTGTTACATCACTTTAAACAACAAATTTACGAAATTAAAAAGAATAATTTTAGTTTTTTATGGTTCCTATGGAAGGTCGATTATATTATTCTCGATCGTACTCAGAAGGATATGAAGATGTTCAATAAATTTTTCTAAGATCCGAGCGAGAAAGAATATATCGACAGAAAAGTTGATGCGATCGAACCACTTAACTTTCATAAGGTTGTTTTTGTGACTGCTCTGATCAAAATGTTTATTGAATGACAGCAAAAAAGAGCTCGTTTAGGTGAATTGGTCAAAAGGGAGTATTTGGAAATGCATAATGCTTATTACCTTGAAGATATTGATTTGGTATATCCTGAGAATTTAAAATTTGAAAATATTGTTAATCTTTGCGGCGATGATTGTGCTCAATGTCTTGGCGTTAAGATCTATGAGAATTTCTTTGATACTCTTTTATAGCTCATTTTTTTTTATTATCAATTATATTATTTATTCTTCAAGTTTTGACGATTTGGTTTTTTTTGTTTAAGTCTAATCAGTTTATTTAACTGATTAGAATTTTATTGATATAATCTGAAATGAATATCAACAATCTACCAAACGAACTTCTAATTTTGATTTTCTTTCATGTTTTTCAAACAAAAATAACTTTATTCGATTTATCAACCACTCTATCGATCAAATTAGTTTGTAAACAATGGTACGATTGCTATCATTCGTTATTCAAGACTCACGGAACCAAATATATTTTATCACCTGTTTCATGCACTTACGAAGATTATACTCC